GAGTGGGAGAGGGAGAAGCAAGCTTCCTGTGGAGCAGGGAGCCCCATGCGGGGCTCAATCCCAGGACCCTGGGATCATGACCTGAGCTGAAGGCAGATGCCTAACGACTGAGCCACCCAGGTAAAATTTCTAATTTTAGAATGTAGTGGAAAAAATTTGTGTGCGTGTATATGTGAATATGAGTAGTAACAAAAATTCAACCAATCATCCCTCAAAAAACATCCTATGTAAGTATAAACTCTAACGACATTTATAAAGGCAAATGATGTTAGGTTTATATGCACCCAAGTCATGGCAGTTTCCTAATTAGACCCTAATGTCCTAATCTTGAAAAGGAAATGAATCATTTAACTAAAAACTTAAATACTCATCAGCAATGTAATGGTTTCTAAGTGTCCTAATGCTCCAGTCATTAAAAATGCAGTAGATTTACAAATCTTAGTTTTCAGGTGTTCTTTGTTTGTTCATTTCTTATTTGTCATCGACATTTAGAAAATCAATATAAAGTAGTTGAGTAGATAAACTCTCAAAATAGAAAACATTTGGAAAAATAAGTAAGCTAACTCCAGATATATACTTGACATATCATTTCAAACTCTTCTGAGGTAGAAAAAGATAATTTCCACTTCAATGCCAATATTGATAAACTAAGATTTTATAATAAAAGAGGCAGAGAATTCTGTAGGCTATAAGACCCTGAAAGAAAATGCTGTATTCTGAATCACATAAAAACAAGTCGTGGAAACTTTAGCTTATAGGGATTGTGTGGTACAGCGACCAGGGTACAGTGCCATATAAAGTTGAAATGTATACAAAACAAAACCTGAGTTTCCATCTAACAAGAAATAGCCGAAAATCCCTGGTAATCCCAAATCCAAGGCAGAGACTATGACAAAACTCCAATCTGAATTTAACAGGATCGTGGTTGACATGCAGATCAGATTTCACAGTAAAAGGATAAATCCCTTCTGTGCCACTTTTCCTTTCTATACATCTACTCTTCCTTTGCACCCACAACTGTCTCACTACTCATTGGATTATTCATCAAGGGAGACTGTGAACAGTATAAAACCTGCAATAAAAGGAGGAATCAAAGAAAAAAAGATCAGTTTATTATTTTTAAAATAAAGATGAATTATTAAGCCCATTTAGCAACTACTCACTCTCAAACTTTGTGGAGGAATACATAGAGAGGATCTTTAGTCTCATTTTTGTGAAACCAAACTATGAAAGAGCTTTATGACCTGGTAGTTGGATGTTTTGATAAACCGAAGTGGAAGTTAACTCAGCTCCCCACCACCCACCTCACCAATAAATACTCCCTTCTCCATATCCAATTACTGGGCCACTTTATTTTATTTTTTACCATTCATGGCTTAATCAAAAAATAAGAATTTCTAGAGCACCTGGGTGCTAAGTCGGTTAAGCGTCTGTCTTCAGCTCAGGTCATGATCCTGGGGTCCTGGGATCCAGCCCTGTGTTGAGCTCCCTGCTCAGCAGGGAGTCTGCTTCTCCCTCTCCCTCTGCCCCTCCACCCCTGCTCCAGCTCTCTGTCTCTCACTCACTCTCTCTCAAATAAATAAATAAAATCTTAAAAAAAAAGAAAGAATTCTGAATACAGCATGGGTCCTACATAAAAAATAAATAGTGCTAAACTGTGAGTACATAGAGGGCACGGTCTGCCTTCATTCATTCATTTACTCATTTTATCATTCAGCAAATACTTATTGAGCCTCTACTGTGTGCCAGGGAATCTCGTGGTGAGCTAGAGTGACTCTGTCCTGGTCTTCTTGAAGCTTACACCTAATAAAGAATATGAAACAGATTATATTATAAGTAACTATTCAATTATAATTTTATTAAGCGCTCCAAAGGAGAAGTTCAAGGTGTAATGAAAGAGGTTAAGGGTATCAGGGAAAGTCTTTTCTGACAAAGAGACATTTACTTATTTTTTATTTTTAAAAAGATTTTATTTATTCATTTGAGAGAGAGAGAGAGAGCATGAGAGGGAGGGAGGGTCAGAGGGAGAAGCAGATACTGGGACTCCAGGATCATGACCGGAGCCGAAGGCAGTCTCTTAACCAACTGAGCCACCCAGGCGCCTCTAGTAAAGAGACATTTAAACTGAGTCATAAAAGATAAGCAGAAGTTGTCCTGGTGAAATGGATGGGAGGGATCATTCAGGTGGAGGGAACAGAGTATTTGAAGCCTCTGAAGGCAGGATGACTCTGGTGCATTCTAGGAAGTGAAAGAAGACAATTCTGCCAAAGGGTTGCCAGTGTGGGAGAGAATAGGGAGAGAATCCCAACGATATATTTAGTACAGCATCTGGTTCAAAGGGGATGCTCCATAAATGGTCATGGCTGAAGGCCCCTTAATAACAGCTGACCTAGATTAAAAGCAGCTGCTAAGTCTTCCACTTTTCTTCTTTGGTTGTTCTTTGCTCAGCTATCTCCTGAGAAGTACTCCACGCACATTTTATTTGGATATCACATCTTTCTCCCCAGATTGCAAAT